TTATTTGTATTACATAACACAGTCTTGTTTTTGTACGTGAGAGAAATGACGTAGTGTATCAAAGGTCAAAGTAACCGTGCAGACAGAAGATAGCAGTGAAACTAACTAATATTTTAGTTTACGTTAGCGGTTAGCAGCTGTTAGAGTCAAAGTAATAATATACAAGTTAGAAAACACTGAAATAGTTTGTTATTGGCTTAACGGATCGCTAGAAATCGAAGAAATGGTACGTTTTTCAATAACCAGGAGTTCGTCTTTGTTTCGAATCACAAATTTCTATGTACATCAGAGAAATGTTTACGGCGCAGAAAAGTCGTTACTTGGTGAGATATTTATAGAAAGAGCGTATAGCTCTTATAATGAGAAACAAATTATCTAAGCGTGTTTTTGTATAATGTGTCTTCAAGCTTGGAAATTACATAACGTTTTGAGTCAACGATCTCGATTTTTTCACGAAGACAAAGAAAAGCCGGCACACATAGTACAACATGGAAATGTGCCTTTGACCGATGAGCCCGTAGGAAAGTTAATGGAGAGAGCAGCAGAAGAGTGGCCCGATCGAGAATGCGTGATATCGCTACATCAAAATGTACGACTGACATTTTCGGACGTCATTCGACGTGCTGATCGTTTAGCTGCCGGTTTAATGAAACTGGGCATGAAGCGCGGCGATCGTCTTGGAATATGGGGTCCTAATGACGTTGAATGGTTAATTACCTTCGTATGCGCTAGCAGAGCGGATTTCATTCTTGTTGCGATCAATCCTAACTTTCAACTGGATGAACTCATCTACTGTATACAAAAGGTCGGAGTAAAGGCTGTGATATCACCTGACAATTTTAAAACACAAGATTATTCACGCATGCTACTTGAAGCCCGGCAAATATGCTTCACTTTGGAACATATAATTATCTATTCGAAGGATCACGTGACGTAAGGATGATTGTTTACAATTTCGACTAGCATAATTGTTTTCTAAATCTTATATACGAAACGAATCGTCCCCTGGAACGAACTAATGTGACTCTCGCGAATGATATATCCGAGTTTCCTTGGAATTTTGTCTAATTTAAGCGAGGGAATGGACAACGCGCGATAACTCTTGGTATCCGGCACCGGCGGGTCGATAAAGGGACAGGTCGGACGCGATCAAGTACGTAAATCCTTTGTCCTTAGGAAACGCGGTCGTATCGAGCTTCTATGCGAAGTAAATTCGTCGCGGTCGTTCCAAGTGATAAGTTGGATCGGACGAGGTCGCGCGCGAGTGCAGTTTTAACGTATACTCGCGCAATTTGTTGATTCATGAATATTGCGTGCGATAATGAATGCGGCAATAACTGGCGCATAGTCTCCACTCGACTTAGTTAGTTGTTAGAATAATCAAGACACGTGGGTTTACTATCACGGCCATACAAAGGATTCGTATGCACTACGTGACACAGTCATTCCTTTTGTTTTCGTTTCGTCGATTCGAATTTCACGGATGAGATCGAGTCGCAAATCGATAGTAATTCGGACGAAAGGGCGGGAACGAGTTAGCTAAAACGCTTGGTAATTTCCTAAAAGCACGACGTCAAGTTCTGTAATTCCACGCCACAATCAGACAGTCTATACCGATTGACAAACCGATTGGATAGTTTTACACCACTCTTGCCCGCTCGATCTATTTTCAGTCGTATTTCGTACCTAACTTTCAAAGTTTTGCCTGATCATCGGTTCAATTTGATTAATTATCTTTCCCCGCGAAAGCGAATCACTGGCATGCAATTAGGTTAATGGCCAGCCGCTATCCTGCAACTTTTTACGTACACTTCGATTTCGTTTCTACCATGTATTGCCATTTTTTCACGATCAATCGATCGATCGGTTAACGGGTTTTTAATTGTTTGCAGTGGGACTCGTCGTTTTAACGACATAGAACAGCTCGCATCCAGGATCGAGGTTGAGCGAATTGCGGCAGAACAGGATCAAATATCTTGTTATAATGGTAGTAACATACAATTCACCTCGGGAACCACTGGCAAACCAAAAGCCACTTTACTGTCACATCATTGTTTGATGAACAATTCGAAACAGGTAATATCGCTACCAGATTATTTCAATAACGTTCGATTGAATACATTTCATAACATTTTTTCTGAGTTTCAATTGTTTAGGCTGTCATAAGAGCAGAGTTCATCATTGAACAAAAAGTTTGCCTAAACGTTCCGTTTTTTCACGCCTTTGGCATTATTAAAGGATTAATGTGCATGCTTCACGCTGGTCTCACGCTTGTATTACCAGCTCCTTTATTTAATCCTGTAAAATCGTTAGAGGCAATAGTACGAGAGAAGTGCAATGTCGTTTACGGTACTCCGACGATGTGGGTAAGTCGTGCGATAAATAAATAAATAAAATTCTCATTTGTTCGTGCATTATTATCTGACATTCTCGTTATTCACAACAGATTAATTTATTGGATGTTCATCAACGACTTCAACCGCCGCCAATAACTTTAGTGTATGGTGTCACCGGTGGTGCTCCCGCGTCGCCGCAACTTTTCAAAGCAATAAGGGAATGCTTCAACTTTGACAATATCAAGGTAACGAACAGATTCGTCGCATCGATTCGAACGCAAAGTTTATAATAGAACCTCAGACTATGTTATTTTAATTAAACAGAATCATCGTTCTTTATAAAATGAAATGCTTGAAGGAATGTGTTCAAGCGCGCCTTCATGTTCAATGATGATCAAGGTAATTGTATTCGCGACTAGATAAATTGTACAATATGAAAGTCAAATTATACAATATATATATATATATATATATATAT